TCGAACTCAGGACCCTTCAGTCCACAGGCTGACACTATACACTGAGCCAAACCGGCTAGGGCTGGTAATGATTCTTTAGACCAGCATTGTTGGATAGAAATACCCTGTACCTGCACTGTCCAGTACAGTAAGTCACCAGCCATGTGTGATTTTGAGCATTTGAAAAGTGGCTAGTGAAACTGAATTTTAAAATTTTTTTAACTCTAATAAAAAGAAAGTTAAATAGTTATATGTGGCTAGTGGCTATTGTATTACACAGTGCATTTTTAGGCTGACATAGTGGTTCTAATTGCACCAGAGGTTTTCCAACTTAATTTTTTTTGCAAGTTATATTTCTTTTTTTAAAATTCTTTATTGTTGAAAGTTTTACATATGTTTCCTTTTCCCCCCCTTGACCTCTCCCTGCCTGCCTCCGCCCACCAGCATATGCCCCCAGCTCCCTATTATCTGTGTCCATTGGTCATGCTCATATGCATGGATACAAATCCTTTGGTTGATCTCTTGTTTCCCCATGCCTTCCCTCTGAGGTTTGATGGTTTGTTTGATGCCTCTATGTCTCCGAATCTATTTTTATTCACCAGTTTATGTTGTGCAATATATTCCACAAATGAGTGAGATCATGTGATGTTTATCTTTCTCTGACTGGCTTATTTCGCTTAGCATAATGCTCTTCAGGTCCATCCATGCTGTTGCGAATGGTAAGAGTTCCTTTTTTTTTCCTGTTTTTTTTTTTTTTTTTTTTTTTTTTTACAGCAGCATAGTATTCCATTTTGTAGATATACCACAGTTATTTAATCCATTCATCTGCTGATGGGCACCAAATCTTAGCAATTATAAATTGTGCTACTATGAAATAAGGGGTGCATATAAGCTTTCTGCTTGGTGTTTCTGATTTCTTGGGATATAGTCCTAGAAGTGGAATTATTGGGTCAAATGGGAGTTCCATTTTTAGTTTTTTGAGGAAACTCCATTCTGTTTTCCGTAGTGGCTGCACCAGTCTACATCCCACCAACAGTGTATGAGGGTTCCTTTTTTACCACATCCTTGCCAGCACTTGTCATTGGTTGATTTTTTGATGATAGCCATTCTGACAGGTGTGAGATCGTACCTCGTTTTGATTTGCATCTCTCGGATGTTTAGTGACTTTGAGCATGTTTTCATATGTCTCAGCCTTCTGTATGTCCTCGTTCAAAAGGTCTATTTGGGTCCTTTGCCCATTTTTTGATTTAATTGGTTATATTCCTTTTGTTAAGTTGTATGAGTTCTCTATAAATTATGGAGATTAAACCCTTATCCAATGTACTGGCAAATATGTTCTCCCATGCTGTGGGCTCTCATTGTTTTGTTGATGGTTTCTTTTGCTATGCAGAAGCTTTTTATTTTGATGTAGTTCCCTTTGTTTATTTTCTCCTTAGTTTCTATTGCCCTAAGAGATGTATCAGTAAAGATATTGCTACAAAATAATGTCTGATACTTTGCTGCCTATGAATTCTTCTAATATTTTTATGGTTTCCCATCTTATGTTTAAGTCTTTTATCCATTTTGAGTTTATTTATTTTTTGTATGGTTTAAGTTGGTGTTCTAGTTTCATTTATTTGCATTGGTTTTCTAACTTTATAGTGTGCTTGTGAGTGTATTAATTTAGGTCTCTGAATAGTTACTATGGTCCTGTAGCTTTGGAAGAAGGTTATCTTAAAAGTTATCTCTATAGTCATAGGCAATGATTCATATCTTATTCATATAGACAGATCATTTATTAGTTAATTAGTTATAAGTGGAATATTTTAGGGTTTTGCTAAATTATGTTTACATAGTCATTTAACACAAATCTACACTAATAAAAGAGAAACATGGTAATTGGCGTACGACCGCTACCCTTCCCATTGGCTAATCAGGGTGATATGCAAATTAACTGCCAGCCAAGATGGCGGCCGGCAGCCAGGCAGCTGATGCGAACAGGGAGGCTTGCTTGTTTCAGTGACGGAGGACTCCAACGTTCCCTGCCTGACTTGCCGGCCTCTCAGCTGCAACTCTAAGCAACTATGTAGCAAATATAGAAGATAAACAAAACCTCAGAAACCTGCTTTACTCAGCTGGGCTTCAGCTAGCTGGACCGCAACATTGTATCAAATACAGATGGTAAACAAAGGCCAGAAACCAGTTTTCAGCAGCCGAGGCCTCAGAGCTAAAGCTGGCCCAGAATAAAAAAATAAAAGAAAAAAAGGAGCGGTTGGGAGCTTCAGTCACCTGTCAGCCTAAAAACAGCCCTCAGCCCCTCAGCCAGACTGGCCAGGCACCCCAGTGGGGACCCCCACCCTAAAGGGTGTGTGACCAGATGCAAACAACCATCATCCCCTCACCCAGGCTGGCCAGGCACCCAAGCGGGACCCCCACCCTGATCCAGGACACCCTTCAGGGCAAACCAGCCAGCCCCCACCTGTGCACCAGGCCTCTATTCTATATAGTAAAAGGGTAATATGCCTCCCGGCACCGGGATCAGCAGAGCTGCGAGGCCTCCCGACACCGGGATCAGCGTGACGGGGCAGCACCCAAACCCCCTGATCGCCCTGCGGCTCTGTGTGTGACAGGGTGCAGTGCCCTAACCCCCTGATCGGCCCTGCCCTGAGTGACAGTGGCGGCGCCCCAATCCCCTGATCGGCCCTGCTCTGTGGGTGACGAGGGGCGGTGCCCCAACCCGCCTGATGGGCCCTGCTCTGTGCATGACGGGGGCAGCACCCCAACACCCTGATCCGCCCTGCTCTGTGTGTGACAGGGGGCAGTGCCCCAACTTCCCTATTGGCCCTACTCTGTGCGTGACAGGGGGGAGCTCCCCAACCCCCTGATCAACCCTGCTCTGTGTGTGACAGGGTACGGAGCCCCAACCCCCCTGATGGGCCCTGCTCTGTGCATGACAGGGGGCAGCGCCCCAACCCCCTGATCCGCCCTGCTCTGTGCGTGACGGGGTGACGCTGCAACTTCCCTATCGACCCTGCCTTGAGTGTGACAGGGGGCGGTGCCCCAAACCCCCAATCGGCCATACCCTGAGCGTGACTAGGGGTGGCATCGCAACCTCCAGATCCGCCCTGCTCTGTGCATGACAGGGGGCGGCGCCCCAACTCCCCAATCGGCCCTGCTCTGAGCCCGACCAGGGGCTGCACCTAGGGATTGGGCCTGCCCTCTGCCACCTGGGAACAGGCCTAAGCCAGCAGGTCATTATCTCCCAAGGGGTCCCAGACTGCGAGAGGGCACAGGTCGGGCTGAGGGACCCCCTCTCCCCCGCGAGTGCACAAATTTTTGTGCACCGGGCCTCTAGTCTATATATATAAAAACCTAATATGCAAATTGTCCCCACGGGAGTTCGATCAGGGACCAATAGTTCACTATGACATGCACTGACCACCAGGGGGCGGTGCGGAATAAAGGAAAGCCCCAGACGGCAGACAGGGAAGGAAGACCCTGGCCGCCAGCTGGAAGGCCCCAATTGGCCCTGATTGCCAGCCAGGCCTAGGGACACTAACCGTGCACGAATTTGGTACACCGGGCCTCTAGTATAATGTAATGAGCCTCATAGGCTGTGTAATGTGGCTCTTAAAAATATACTGTATTCTTGGTACTAGTAGGTGCTTAAAGCTGAGCAAGAATTGTCATGTATTTATCTATAGGACATATACATAACACTAATTTAATGGTTACTGCCATAACCAATACTAGGATACGTGACTTATCTACACTAATAAAAGAGAAAGATGCAAATTGACCGTACCTTTGCAGCGCCCACCAGCCAATCAGAAATGTTTAGGAACAAGCTACAATTATTCAAGTAATTGAGTTAAAGAGACTTAAATAGTGAGACTTTAAAACTTGGTGAATTTAGTTAAAAACAAGATTCCATAGAGTCTCTGGTGATAGTAGTTCAACCATTTATAGCAATTACTTCTGAAGTTAAAATAATGCTTTTTTATCCCTGTGGACTATTTTTCAGTTCAGACCAAATGCCTTGGAAATTAAAAAGCAGGAAAACTTGCTTTTTCAGCCTGAGGATAAAAAGCAATATGAAGGTCGAATTAGCCGTGTTTCTCAATATTTTAGATATCTGCTATCTAATATTTGAACTTTTGTGCTTTATAACTAAAACAGCTTTATAAAAATATTGTATATTTTGTAAAATTTCTGCTTGTGTGTGTGAATCCAGAAAACAAATTCTTAAAGCAGTTCAAATGTCATTTTTACTTTTTGCGCGTGACGGGGCCTGGGTTTCACCTCCCCACATCGAGTGGACTGTGAGCTGAAGCCCCACATGGCTTTGGGTGCCGACTCTCACCCATGGCCATGGCCAAAGTCACAGGTGATTTTCAACCAACGCCAACAAATGTCTTTTTCAAGCCCAAAGGATTATAGACATACTACACTGTAGCTTTCTGAAGACATGGATTATGACATACTCATCTTTGTTTTTTTCCCCTAGAACTTAGCACATTACCTTGTATACAGAAGCAGTGAATGAGTAGTTATTTTAGAATAAGTTAATCTATGATAAAATATATCCAACTAATTTTCTTTTCTTTTTAAGTTCATTGATAAAAACCAGAAAAATGTAAATTAAAGCATGTTTAAAATTATGTGTTCTTATGGAAATAATTTCAGTTATATCTGAAATAAGAATAGGTAGCAGTAAAAGATTAATGTCACTTAGTATTTGAAAATTCAGATTTACTTAAACAATACATTATGAGGTGATTCCTCATTTTTACAAAAGGATGCATTTAAAAAATATTCATAATGTAATAATTCAGATTTATTCAAGTAGTAAATGCTTAATAGAATCACCATTTTGCTCACTAAATTAGGATTCATTCAGAATGAACCAATTATGTAAATAAGTTACATGTATATGTCAAACATCAAACTTTAAAATTGAGCTTTTTATGGATAAACTATTAAATATGTGTACATTTAATTTAATGAAATTCACTCTTATATTAGGTATTTTTATTTTATAGGAAGGAGAACATATATAACTTGGTGCATTGTCTGGAATCACATGGTGAGTTTGGAGATAAATTAGATCCAAGGATTTCTGAATACCAAGTTTCATGTTTTAGTATTTGGCATTACATAAAATGACTCAAAATAGACTGATATCATGTGTTAGTACATAAGTGACAATTTACAACTTGATTGACGACAACCCTTTTTAGCCAAAAAGTAATTGTTACTGCCATAACCGATATTAGTATACATGGCTTATCTACACTAATAAAAGAGAAAGATGCAAATTGACCATACCTTTGCTGCGCCCACCAGCCAGTCAGGAGTGAGTATGCAAATTAACCCAACAAAGATGGTGGGTTAATTTGCATATGCAGGCACTGAGTGGCCAGGGGCGGGGTGGGATGCTTGCGTCGTCGCCAAGGCAGTGCCGGCAGCTAGGGGAAGGAAGGCTCATTCTTGCACGAATCTTCATGCATCGGGCCTCTAGTGTATTAATAACTTTCCTTCAGGAGAAAGGATGAGAGGTAGGCATATTTCCTTAAAGATAAAAACTCTTAGAATTGTTAAAGTAACAAATGCTCACATAAAAACAATTAATGGAAATTAAAAAGTGAGTAAAGTAGAAATGTTTTCTCACTATGCTCAGTAATAACTACTGTTATCAGTTTAGTATACATAATTACATATGTTTCTTTTATGCATAGACAAAAATAATTTCTAAAAAAATTATAAAGCTATTATGTGTCTTAAAATTTTCCCCCTAACAATATATTCTAGGTATACAGTAGTTGCCCTTTATTTGACATTTTATTTTATGTGGTTTCAGTTACTTATAGTAAACCACAATCTGAAAATATTAAACCGAAAATCCCAGAAATAAACACTAAGTTTTAAATTGAGTGTCTTTTAGAATAGCATGATGGAATCTCACCTTCCAACTCCATCCAAATCTGGGAGAATCATCTCTTTATCCAGTGTATCCATACTGCATAATGCTACCTGTCCACTAGTCACTTAGTCACTTACACAGTTGTCTCAGTTATCAGGTAAACTATGGAATTACTAGTGCTTGTGTTCAAATAACCCTAATAAAGTAGCCTATTGCTCTCACAATGCCTAAGCTTCATCTCATCAGTAGGCATTGTAGTATCTCCTATCACAGGAAGAAGGGTGAATACAGAACAATATGACATTTTGAGAGAGACCACATTCACATAACTTTTACTATAATATATTGTTATTGTTCTATTTTATTAGTTATTGTTGTTAATCTCTTACTGTGCCTAATTAATAAATCAAACTTTATCATATGTATGTTTAGAGAGAAAACATAGTTTATATAGGGTTTATTACTGTCCTCGGTTTCAGGCTTACACTGGTGATCTTGGAATGTATTATCTATGGATAAGGGGAACCACTGTATTGCCAGTGGCAGTGTCTTGTTAAAAAGAATGAGGAAGTCCTCCATCCATTGTCTTTTGTATTAGTTTTCTAGGGCTGCCACAACAAAGTATCATAGACTGGCTAGATTAAACAATAGACATTTATTTTCTCATAATTTTGGAGACTACAAGACCAAGGTGCTGGTAGGGTTAGTTCTTTTCTTTTAATTGTTTAAAGTATTACATATGTTTTTTTTTTCCCCGATTGACCCCACCCCCCACCCCCAAGGGCAAGCCCCCACCTCCCCAGTGTCTGTGTCCATTGGTTATGCTAATATGCATGCATACAAGTCCTTTGGTTCATCTCTAACCCCCCCCCCCCCGCCATTTTGTTTCTGGATCTAGTTTTGTTCATCAAATTATGTTGTTCATTGTATCCCACATATGAATGAGATCCTGTGATAGTTATCTTCTCGAACTGACTTATTTCACTTAGCATAATGCTCTCCAGTTCCATCCATGTTGTTGCAAATGGTAAAAGTTGTTGCTTATGCCGAAACCGGTTTGGCTCGGTGGATAAAGTATCGGCCTGCGGACTGAAGGGTCCCAGGTTCGATTCCGGTCAAGGGCATGTACCTTGGTTGCGGGCACATTCTCAGTGGGAGATGTGCAGGAGGCAGCTGATCGATGTTTCTCTCTCATCGGTGTTTCTAACTCTCTATCTCTCTCCCTTCCTCTCTGTAAAAAATCAATAAAATATATTAAAAAAAAAAAAGTTGTTGCTTCATGATAACACACCATCACACACTTCAAAAGCAGTTAAAGACACGTTAAAAGATCTTCCCTGGGAAGTATTAACCCACCCGCCATATTCACCACAACTTGCTCCTTCAGATGACCACTTGTTCCGATTGATGGCACACGCACTTTCTGAGCAGCACTTCAAACGTATGAAGAAGTGAAAAATTGGGTCTCTGAATGGTTTGCCACAAAACAGAAAAGTTCTATTGGGACGGTATCCACAAATTACCTGAAAGATGGGGGAAATGTGTAGCTAGTGATGGACATTACTTTGAATAAAGCACTTTTGATATTTCTCTTGAAATTACTGTGTTTTCTTTGATTACAAAATCCACATTATTCACGGAACACCTGGTAGCGTGATATCTGGTATTGTGGTCCCTCCAACTTTGTTCTTTTTTCTCAGGATTGCTGTGGCTATTTGGGGTCTTTTTTTAAATTCCAGATGAATTTTTGGAGAGTTTGTTCTAGGGCTTTGAAATATTCCATTGGTATTTTAATGGGGATTGCAATGAATCTGGAGATTGCTTTGGGTAGTATGGATATTTTAATGATGTTGATTCTACCAATCCATAAACACAGTATGTTCCATTTGTTTATGTCTTCCTCTATCTCCTTTTTCAATGTCCTGTAGTTTTCCGAGTACAGGTCTTTTACCTCCTTAGTTGTTTATTCCTAGGTATTTTAATTTTTTTTTGGTGCAATTGTAAATGGGATTGATTTTTTAAGTTTCTTTTTCTGTGAGTTCACTGTTGGTGTATAAAAATCCCATAGATTTCTGGGTGTTAATTTTGTATTCTGCTACATTGCCAAATTCATTTATTAAGTCTAGTAGTTTTTTGATGGAGTAATTAGGATTTTTCTACGTACAGTATCATGTCATCTGCAAATAAGGACATTTTTACTTTTTCTTTTCCAATTTTTTTTTAAATATATTTTATTGATGTCTTACAGAGAGGAAGGGAGAGGGATAGAGTTAGAAACATCGATGAGAGAGAAACATCGATCAGCTGCCTCCTGCACACTCCCCACCGGGGATGTGCCCGCAACCAGGGTACATGCCCTTAACCGGAATCGAACCTGGGACCCTTGAGTCTGCAGGCCGGTGCTCTATTCACTGAGCCAAACTGGTTAGGGCTTCTTTTCCAATTTGGATGCCTTTTATTTCTTCTTCTTGTCTGATTGCTATGGCTAGCACTTCTAGTACTCTATCGAACAGGAGTGGTGAAAGTGGGCATTCCTGTCTTGTTCCTGTTCTTGGGGAAAATGGTTTTGCCCATTGATTATGATGTTGGCTGTAGGTTTGTCATATAAGGCTTTTATTATGTTGAGGTAGGGTCCCTCTATTCCTACTTTGCTGAGAGTTTTTATCAAGAAAGGGTGTTGGATTTTGTCAAATGTGTTTTTTTTTTGCATAGATTGATACTGTGATTTTTGTCTCAGTTTGTTTATGTGATGTATCACATTTATTGATTTGCAGATATTGTACCATCCTTGCATCCCCGGAATAAATCCTACTTGGTCATGGTGTATGATCTTTCTAATGTAATGCTGGATCCGATTTGCTAGAATTTTGTTGAGGATTTTAGCATCTATGTTCATCAAGAATATTGGCCTGTAGTTCTCTTTTTTTATGATGTCCACTTCTTCTAGTCTATTGTTGATGCTTTCTATTGTGTTCTTTATTGCAAGTATGTCATTCTTCGTTTCTTCTTGGTTTTTCTTCATTTCCTCTTGGTTCTTACATATGTTGTTGAATTTGTTTTCCATCCTTTTCAACGTCCTTATGACCATTGCTCTGAATTCTTTCTCTGACAAATTGCTTACCTCCATTTCGTTTTCTTCCTTTTCCAGTGATTCCTCCTTTTCTTTCATATTGGGGCTATTTCTTTGTCTCCCTATTTTTGCTCCTCTCAGGTTGTCTGGTTATGTGGTTCACTCTCTACCACGTTGACTTAAAGCCACAAAATACAACTAGACAAGACACAACACAGAGGGCACAAAACACGAATGTATTCATGATACCAATAACCCCAACCCCAAATAAAGGTGACCTCCAGATAAAAGAGAATTAGGGGACAGGAAAGAGCGCAAAAACGATATTGAGAAAAGGAAAAGAGGTAAGAAAGAAAAAAGGGGAAGAAAAAAATATGTATATGGGGAGAAAACTCCAAAAAAACTGACAACTAATACAAGAAATGCAAACGACAAACACCCATTAAAGAAGGAGGGAAGCTGAATTTGAAGAGGCAGAGCTTATTTCCAGATGGTAAGGTAAAGGAATTGAATGAATGGGGAAATGGCCACGATTCAGTATAGAGGAGGTAGAAAGAGAAAGAGTGTATAAGAAGTAAAAAACAAAATACTCAAAAAAAGTAGAAAATAATAATTGAGAAAAATAATTTTAAAATATATATTAAAAAAATATATAAAAGGAAATATAATATATATAAATTTCCCCTTTAATCTTTCTATCTATGTATTCATCTATTTTTGGAAAAGGAGAATAGAGAGCAGATAGATCTGAGTTGATGATAGAAACTAAGTTATTAGACAAAGAGAACAAGTGAGAGGAAAAAAAGCATAAAACAAACAAGAACAAAAAACAGACAACAACAAGAAAGAAAGAAAAAAGAAAAAAAATTGGCTAGCAAAGAAAGAGAAAAGAAAAATGTACATGGACATGGAGCAGCGGAGAGGAAATTAGATATATAAGTAGGCCAAGAGCAACTACTTTAATATTAAAGTGTCAATAAAGCAGATAAAGATCAATTTTTAACAAGGAGTAAAAAGAAAGGATAGAGAAAAACTAAAGCAGGAGCAGGAGATGAGAAAGGATGAGAAAGGGAAAAGTGAGGAAGTGTTGGCTTAAGGAAATAAATTGAGATAAAAATAATGATAAATGAATAAATAAAAATAGAATGTAGAACACTAATCTGAAAAAATAAAAATTAAAGAAAGGTAAAAAATAATAATTTATAAAGTGAAAAAAAATTTTTGGTTTCTTAAGTAAAAGATAAAAAATGAAAAAGTGAAGAAGTGAAGTTCATTCACTTCAGCATAGCTTCAGTGTCCCATGTGGCATGGCTTACCCCTTTCCACTGTTCTCTGTTTCCTGTCAGGTAGTCAGCACAGTGTTGAATTTCCCATTGATCCACCACTACTCTGTGTCATACGCCACAACTTTGGTATCAATCAATCTGCCCACTTTGTTTTTCCACCAGCTTTCAGTCATATTTACACAAGTGTCTGTTTCTGACATGGACTTTAGGTGGCAGTGTTTCTGTATTAGTTTTCAGGACGAAATGGCCCCTCAACCCAGTCAGTCCCCCAGGGCTCCCTGCGGGTATTTAGAATCTTCCTTTCCCTGCCGTGCTCAAGACTGGTTGCAGCTCTGCTGCTAGGAGGAGCCTGGTCTTTAGGAGAAAAATGTCTGTTCAGGGTTGGAGGGATGGGCTGTCCCAGAGCTGGCTTCCTTATCATCTCTATTCTGCTCCCCAAGTACCATAAAAACCACTGTCCCCTGAAGTCTCAGTGAGTGTTTTTAATCGAAAGATCCTATGCACTGGGTTTAGTAAGTAAAAGCAAGAAGATTATAAAGACAGAGCAACCATGCTGCCTTGTGTCTTTCTACCTTCGACACTGTGTGACCAGCCCTATGGACCCCTTACCACATTCCAGGGCTACACTGACCCCAAGGGATGAGGATTTGGTGCAGCACAGTCTCCCTCTGAAACTCTAGTCCCAGCTGTGTGCGTCTCTTCCTCCAACCCAGATCTCCATACCCACCTCTGTCCAGGCGATCTCTGACCTTTCTGTCTACAGATTGCCTCACCAGCTGTGTTTAATTCACCAGTTCTGGGTGGATGTTATTCGATTCAACTGTTTCTTCTATCGGCTCTGTCAGAAGGTGCAGGACCCATCTGCCTATTTGGCCTTGACCTTGTCTCCCCTGGACAAACTTTTTAGGTACCTGCAGCCAGGCAGGCTGGAGTCTTGGTGTTCGTGGGTTCACAGCTGGTCCCTGGCCAGTGTGGCTGTAGGGTCCCAGGTGGTATTCGAGGTCTTCCCCCAGTGAAGGTAAGACAGGGCTTCCGATCGAAGTTGCTCTCCCCTTCAGATGGCGCAGTCTCTGTGGTAGAGCCGGCTGCCAGGGAAGGATTTCAGTGGTAGTAGACGCTGCCCGGCCAGGGGAGCCTGGTCCGCCAGTCCCCAACAGCCCTGTGGAATATAACTCCCTCACTCAAACATCCACACATTCCCCTTTCGCTCTTTCACTCACTCCTACACTATCTCCCTCACTGCCATCCTGTTGGCCACCATCTTGGATCTCCAGGGTTAGTTCTTTTGATTTGCGAATATTTTACCATAGTTGCATCCCTGGAATAAATCCCACTTGGTCATGGTGTGTGATCTTTTTAATATATTGCTGGATCTCATTTGCTAATATTTTGTTGAGGATTTTAGCATCTATGTTCATCAGAGATATTGGCCTTTAATTCTCTTTTTTTCTAGTGTCTTTATGCTGGCCTCAGAAAAAGAGGTTGAAAGTATTCCTTCCTCCTGGATTTTTTGGGAATAGTGTGAGGAGGATAGGTGTTAGTTCTTTGAATGTTTGGTAAAACTTCCCCGTGAAGCTGTTTTTACGAGGGCTTTTGTTTGCTGGGAGTTTTTTGATTATTGCTTCTATTTCCTCAGTTGTTAATTGGCCTATTCAGGTTTTCTGCTGCTTCTTGATTTAGTTTGGGAAGAATGTTTTTTTTTAAGAAATTTTTCCATTTCATCCACATTGTCCAGCTTGTTGGCATATAGTTGCTCATAGTATTTTCCTATAATCCTTTGTATTTCTGTGATGTCAGTTGTTACTTCACCGCTTTCATTTTGGATTTTACTTATTTGGGTCCTGTCTTTGTTTCTTGATGAATCTGGCTAAAAGTTGATCAATCTTGTTTATGCTTTCAAAAGAACCAGCTCTTGGTTTCAGTATTTTTAAAACTGAGTTGAAAATTTTGATTATCATATTCTTAATCTTATATTTTGTTTTCTGAATATTATTTTTTATAATATTCTTTCTTGTCTTATATCTCTAAATATGCTAATTATATATTTTTTCTAATATTTTTCTTGCTATCTGCATTTGCCTCTTTTCCTTAGGATTCTTTTATCTGTTTTATTGACTTTGGTCTGAAAAACAGGAGGTTTTCCTGAAATTAATGGTGCTTATTGGTTGTCTATCCATGTAAGAGCAAGGCACTAAAATGCTTCGTGGGGACTCAGTGTTTGGTCAGAACATCTAGGATTGTTGTTATTTACTATATGCTCTTTGATTTGTATCTTCAGGTGAGAAATTTGCCCCGCATGGAATAAGCCTCATTTTGTTCCCTATTTTTGTCTAGCACCTCATTCCTGTTTTGCTCTATCTATGCCTGGCATTCCTAAATTTGGTTCAGTTTTTGTAGTATATTTCCCACTTATTGCCTCATTTTTTCAAATTATAAGCAAAAGTTTATGCAGAAAGTCACAGAGGTAGAAGTGAACCGTAGAAGAAATGGTTTTAGGAAACAAGTTACAGAGGCAAAAGAAAGGCCAGTGGAGCTTAGGAGAGAGAAAGGTAAAGGTTACATGCTTGGTGGGGGAAGGAGAGAAGGAAGGGAAAGGTGTGAGCATGCTCCTGAGAGAGAGAACCCTGCCTATTGCCTCTATTGCCTCTTATTCTTAGTTTATCTCTTTTTTGTTAATATTCTTTTTTCAGATAATGATTAAGTGAAATCATTTTTGTAGATATACTCATATTCCAGGCATATGACTGAAACTCACTTAGATTGTATCTAAATTTTCAGTCCACTATAAATAACTAGTCAGCCATTACCTATTTCTATCTCTATCTACCTATGTGTCTATCTAGTTATCTAACATCTAAGAGAATGAGTTCTGAGTTTCTCACTATTGCTACCATGTACTAACTACAAATATCAATTCAGAAATTGCTACTCGGATTATTAAAGTAGATCCTAAGTATACTATGTATTAAAAATGTATTTTTCTTTTTGAAAATAAGGTTTGCTTTCCTTTTGAAAATTAGGTAAGTCAAAAATGGCAGAACTCTTTATGGAATGTGAAGAAGAAGAGTTGGAACCCTGGCAGAAGAAAGTAAAAGAGGTTGAGGATGATGATGATGATGAGCCGATCTTTGTTGGAGAGATATCAAGTTCAAAACCAGCAATTTCAAGTAAGCATTTATTTTTAGTGAAGCCAAGTTTTATAAAATACTGTTTCTAATGGAAAAAGTTTACAAACTGGCTTAGGAGGTACTTATGTTCTTGCTTCTCTGTAAAGAGTTGGGAATGAAAGATTGGGTGGGAGATAAGTAAGACTTTTAGAAACAGGGTGGGGATGTGATTGGGTACTTGAGGGAGGAGTTAGGTTAAAATATCAGATCTGAGAAAAAGAAATGGACTAAGATTAGCTGGTGACATTGGAGGCCTTTTGTTATTAGAAATCATAATTTTTATGGAGCTAAATTTTCTATTTATATATGTATTTTTTTTTTCACTTAAACTCAGAAGTAGAGGGAAAAAAGGGTTTAGAATACTTTGTTTAAAATGTCAGAATTACTAAATAAGTTTGTGTTATTCTTAGATAGGGGTTCTCAATTCTAGGCAACTGTCTTATCGCAGTGTCATCCATTCATAGATACAAAATGTATGGGTAGTGAATGATTGCCGTCTGTGGCCTGTATGCTAATAGTTGCTTCTGTACCCATCCATTTTCCAGCAACTTGCATTTATATTCATGAAAGAGAAGGGCACTGTCTATAGCTACTGTATTTGGATGACATAGCAGTTAGTTAAAACTTAAATCTTTATGGTTTTTTAACAGAACATCTTGATACGTTTATAGATACTAGATTTCAGTTAGAGTAATTGGATTTGACCTTGTTATAATGTTCAAGCAAAGAGCAATAACACCTTTTAAAATATTCGCTCAAAAATATATAGAAGTGTAGAGAAGTAATGTATGAATGTTAGATTTTCTTACCAAGATAGTGCTTAAAAGTGTGATTAAGAGGCTACTTTAGCCCTGCCGGTGTAATTCAGGGGATTAAGTGTTGTCCCATGCATTGAGTGGTCACTGGTTCGATTCCTGGTAAGGGTATATGCCTGGGTTGCCAGATCCCCAGTAGGGGTGTGCAGGTGGCAGCCCATCCATATTTTTATCCCTCTCCCCCTCTCCCATCCTCTGTCTCTAAAATCAACAAAAATACAGGTATTTTTAAAAAGAATCCCTCGCTCTTTGCCCTTAAAACACAAAAGAGGTTACTTTAAAATATTTGGAAAGCCTGATACTTTCTTCTGTTGCCCCTAAACTTGTAAGGGCGCTTCTATTCAGTTTTATCAGAGGGATAATAACAACTGAATTCTCAATACCACGTCCTCTGGCACATTAATAATCTCTCATGGAGGTTCTAATTGGAGTGCCACTTTGATTATAAATTAAATGATACTTGTTGATGATAGTAGAACATAATTATATATTCTCTTTAATTTATTGTTTCTAGTAATTGTGATTATTTTATTCTGGAATATTACCATATTGTAAAATTGTTATTGAAATTCTCTTATTGAAAACATGACAGTTAAGATTCAAGTTGATTTTATACTGACTGAACACGATTTAACAGTGTTCAACTAGAATAGTGTATACTAGTCCTATATAATAAAAGCCTCATATGCTAAGTGTCAGGTCGTCCGGTTGTTCGTTCAACCAATCAAAGCGTAATATGTTAATGATATGCTAAGGCCGTTCAACTGCTTGCTATGACGTGCACTGACCACCAGGGGGTAGATGCTCTTACCTGTAGGTTAGCTTGCTGCTGGGGTCTGACTGACTGGGGCTGAGCGAGACAGGCCAGACACACACTGGAGCCCTCCTGCGGTCCCTCCCTGGCTGGCCAACCTCCTGTGTCCCTCTCCAGCCCCTATCGTGCACCAGTGGGGTCCCTTGGCCTGGCCTGCGCCCTTTCACAATCCAGGAGCCCTCGGGGGATGTCAGAGAGCCAGTTTCTGCTCAATCCCGCAGGCCAGGCTGAGGAACCACAGTGGTGCATGAATTCATGCACCGGGCCTCTAGTTTTAAAATAATTATGTCAAAAAGGAGATTGACCCCCAGTAGAATTTCTTTTCTGAATTGTTAAGATACAGAATTTAAATGATTGTATTGTTGGTTATGTGTAGGCCATAAAATGTTAACATGGAATATGGTTTGAATGTTTACATAGAATTACCAGAAAGAAGGGGAAAATCTGTGTTTTGTAGAATACAACCACTAAAAAGTACTTTAATAATAGTTCTTCGTTGGTTTGGTAAATACTTAATCATGAATTTCAGGATGAAAATGGTGTTAAGTTATTGGAGCAAAGTTGTTTATTCAATAAGACATATGTAGTGCTTAGTTATATAGACACTACATTGTCATTATCAGATAATAACCCTGCTTCTGTGTGGCCCCTTACTTTATAGGATTATTTTATGAGATCTGGTTATTTTTTACTGGGATGAAAGAAAAGGACATTTTAATGATATTTGGAGTGTGCTTTTACCTTTTTCTAACCAACAATTTTAGGCAAAACCCACTCTTCCAAATTTTAGTTTGATAATTGAGTAACCTAAGAGTTACAGAGTTTATATGCATGTAAGAATAAGGAAATTTAAACTGATCCTGAAAGTCATATTAGACTCACATTGACTTCTGCTATAGTGGTAGATTTGAAACTCCTTAAGTTATAAGATACTCTGGTAAACTGTAGGTTCATTTTAGTTTGTAGCCTCTGATAGTTTCCCTTTCAGAAATCAAGAGTAATGGTGCAGATAATCCAATGAGATCCCTCATAAGGTCACTTCAAAGCTTTTAGGGATGTGAATGGGATATGGAGCTTGGACAAGATTTTGATTTTGAGTAATAGGAACCTGAGTGTATATACAACCCTATCATCACTCAAAGATAGACATATACTTCAATTATAAGTTGTATATAAATGTACTTTTGGAAAAGTTTTATTAATAATGTGGAATATTTCTTTGCCATGTAAAAGGTTTGACTTATATAGTCAGATTTATCAATTTTTTATTTTTGGCCTTTGGATTTTGAGTTATAGTTAAAAAGGTTGTTCTAATACTATGCAACAATTGAAGCTTATAATCTTGTCCCTTTAGTAAATAAATAAATAAGTTTAACTGTATTTTAAAATAGTGATAACTTATAACTTCTTCCAGGAATCTGTTTGTTTTCAATTCATGATTTCTATTATCTTAATATATATTTCATTCAAACAAATGAATTTTAAAATAAATTCAATTTTTTTCAGATATTTTAAATAGAGTAAACCCCAGCTCATATTCAAGAGGAATAAAGAATGGCGCACTCAGTCGGGGTACAGTATTATTTTACTCTTTTAATTTTAAAGAGAAGTATTTTGATATCATTGATTATATAGAAATATATTCAATATATTGTGTAATTTTGAAATACAGGTATTACTGCTGCATTCAAGCCTACAAGTCAACACTACACGAACCCAACATCAAATCCAGTGGCTGCCTCGCCAGTAAATTTTCATCCTGAATCTAGATCTTCAGATAATTCTGTTATTGTTCAGCCTTTGTCTAAACCTGTAAGTGTTTCTGAAACTACACAGTCAGCTCAGGTATACATTGGATATTATTTATAAATGTCAACAATACCCAATTAAAATTCTGAACTAGCATGGGTAGAAGCATTATCAGCATCAGAAAATGTCACCATTAAGAGCTCAACCAGTACCCAAAGCAATAACTGCAGGAACTAACTACCCAACCTGTTTCTTAGTAATATGATTAAATTAAATAGGTACAGTATTAAAAACTGTGCTATCAAAATATAAATAAAAGTATAATCAGTAATGAATATTGCATAATGGCAAACTGTCTAAGATTATAAAATGCACCAAGTATTCTTCATTCTTAATTGGGAAAATTATTGCGAGCCTATCATAGCTTTTTATTCTGAAAACATACCTTCATAGTATTAAAAAAAAACACCTCAACAAAAAGTACTAGTTACTGGTAATAGTTAAAATTTATTGAACTGTTAATATGTGTAAGGCTTTGTGCTAAATGATATATATATATATATAATATATAAGTTAATCTGATTTAATTCTTAAATATCCTGTGATGTAGGCACTATTGTTACCCTATTTTATATTTGAGGAAATTGAGGCTCACAGAGGTTCAATAATTCACTAGTGCCACAGAGCTGGCAAATGATAGATTTGGAATTTTACTCAGACTAACCCATAGTTCATATTTATATATATATATATATTGTACATAAATGTATACTTTAACACGTTAAGCGCCCAGCCTGTTTTGTCTTCCAGATGGAAAGTATAGTATCAGTCACCGGTGACTGCCATGATGCTTACATGTTAAAAAAAAAAAATGGTAGCATTGCTTTCCTGTGACCATTTTCAGGCCCTGGAGTTTCTTCTGAGATTCTTTCATGAGTTTGAAAATCAACACTATTATCACAAAAATAAAAAGACACTAATTGCCTTTTTCACTATGTTGACATTTATTGTAAAAATAATACAAAGACACTATTTACCTTTTCACTATGTTGACATTTGCACTTATAATATAAAAGCAATGGTGAGTAAACTGCTTGTGCCTCAAGACAGTGGTATCAAGCTGTTCTAGTAGTTTTTGTATTAGTCACCACCATGCATTCACAGTAAAAAATATTACAGTCATACTCAATTTACCTGAGGAAGTATTGAAATACTTTGTTAATTCTAATTTTGAATATGTGTCTTTAAAAATATTTTGTGTAGTGAAATGGGTAGTATGCATACATAAAGCACTTCTGTGTCTGAAGTATGATATATTTTGAGGAAAATCACTTGTGTATTGAATTGTAAGCTAAACTACCCACTTTTTAAAAACAGAAGAACATTTTTAATTGAAAGAATGACTGACAATCCATGGTGTATTATTTATTTTTGTGTAGAAATGTTACCATAAACATGTGGTTTAAAACCACACACATTTCTTACCTCATACTTTTTGTGCGTTAGTACTCAGTTCATGGCTTAGTTAGATCCTCTGCTTCAAGATCTCACAAGGCTACGTTCAAGGTGTGGGATCTGAGGTTGAAGTCTCATCTGAAGCTCAGCTGGGGAAATACCTGTTTCTAAGTTCTCATGGTATTGGCAGCACTTGTTCCTTAAGGGTTGTCATACTGAGAGTCTCAGTATTTTACTGGCTTTTGGCTGGCTCTTTTTCAGCTGGGTCTTCCCAACATGCTTTTGCTTCCTCAAAATCCGAAAGAGAAAGAGAATCCTTAACAGGGTGGCATTAAAATCTTATATAATGTGATCACATACAAAAATTGTGTATCTTGTCACCTTTGCTGTATTCTTTTGGTTAGAAGCAAGTAACATGTCTTGCCTGCACTAAAAGGGAATCACATAGAACATGAATACCAGAGTGGAGGGGTCATGGAGGCCACTTTTGAGTCTGTTCACCACACACAATGAGTTCCTTAATCTTGGTTATTTGGCAAACATTTCCACAAAATTGAAAAAAGCACCTGTCACGTAGGAAAACCGCTGATAGTATTTCTGTGAAGAGTAAAATTTGAGCTTTCAAGCAAAAATTAGAATTTTTGAAAACTTGTATCTGCTACCATGATCTTGACAGCTTCCCAGTACTTAAAGACTTTTCTCATGGGTAGTATTAATAATTAAGATTTTTTTGTTACTGTATACTGAACTCTGTCAAGATTTGGACGATCTGCATAATTCAAAGAAACCAGTATTTTTTATATAACCAATGCATGATGTTACAAAATTATGCCTGAAAGAAAGATCCTTTCAAAGTGCAAGATAGACTAATAGATTTTAATGTAACAAAGTACAAATTTTAGTGAAAGGAGTAAGATTTTGCATTCCAACAACCCTTTAAGAAAATACCAACTGTTGAGTTTTGGTGTAGTATTAAAGAAGTGCACTTACAGTTATCCTAAAGTGCTTTAAAATACTCCCCCTTTCAACTATATATATTTATAAAGCCAGATTTTCTTTATATTTTTCAACCAAACATTTCCTAGCAAATTAAAAGCAGAATTAGATATGAGACTATAGCAGGTTTTGATTAAGCTAGACACTAAAGAGATTTGCCACTCTTTAATTTTTTTTTTGTTTTCAAGATAGTCATAAAAATTACTTAATGTTAATCTACCATTGGTTTATTATAGTTTAAAATAAAATTAATACATATTTTTAAATTTTTCTGTTTTAATTTCTAATATGGCAAATATTAATGAATATGTCCCACCTGAATAAAAAACTCTTTTGGGTCTTCAGTAATTGTTAAATGTGTAAAGCGGTCCTGAAACCAAGGAGTTAGAGTATTAACACAAAAAGTTACCCAAAATATAGAGTCTTTGCTATAAGTTAAAATCAAATTAACTCTGTTTTTTTTTCATGTTTATAATAAGCTATTTGACATTGGCCTTAGAGAATAGTAAATTTTCCTTATGTTCTTTTGGCAGTAAGGGAAACAACTACCAAAGCACCTATACATTTTCTTGCAAATAATCAGGCTTAACACCACAATTGAATCCAAATATTTTTAGTACTAATAGCTTATTTTTTTTCTGTATTTTATATCTTATTACTGTAAGGTAATTTACCTACCTCTTGGCACTAAAAATTGATATTTTGAGGTGGTATCTTTTGTAGAAGAGTTATTCAATTTAATTTTAGCCTACATAAAAATGAAAAGGAAGACTACAGCCTTTTAAAACTATGGCTAATGCTCTGGTTTCTCTTCAGACCGTATAAATCTTTCGCCTTTTAAAACTATGGCTAAATAAATGCAACTTCCATTTATATTTTGAAGATGTTATATATCATAAAAAATAATATCTTTGGGCAGACACCTACCTCCCACCAACTCCCTCCTCCCCCTTTGCGAATTCTTTTCTGTGGTTTTAGCATTCTGAAGTAATGATTAATAGTGAAATGAGCCCTGAATTAGTATTTAAAAGACTTAGATTGAAGCAAGAGATTTGAATGCTGATTTTGCTTTGCTCTTAACCATTGTCAAACCTCTCTGAGCCTCATTTTCTTTATTCCTAAAATGAGAGATTTTACCCAAACTACTAACTCTCAATTTTGGCTTCTAAGGTTCCATAGGCTATATTGAATGCTACTATAGATGGAAAGCTATCCAAAATATAAAGATTATTTGCTATTAGTTGGAATCACATTAAGTCAGTAGTTTTCTAATGCTTACCATAAGCTGTTTGGCATTTGGAGAATAGAAAACCAAAAAAAGAAACTTAGTTATTTAATTCAGTTTGCTAGAGAAATCTTTCCAGCATTGGACTCAGACAGGAAAAAAAAAAAAGTTTGGGGTGGTATCTTTGGTGTTATAAAAGTTAGAAACTAAAACTTTCTAAATTACAGTGTTTTATTTATATGGGCATAGTTTTTAAATCAAAGCACCTCAATTGGTGTTTCCCAATCTTGGAGAATATTTAAAGGAGAGATTTTACCAATTGGTCTGGGTGGGTCCTGAAATGATGCATTTTAAACAACTCTCCCAAGTGATTCTAATGTGCAGTTAAAGTTAAGAATGACAGATGTATTCTGGAATGAATTGAGAATCCACTTTAAGGGAATTTACTCTGAATTTTGGAAGCAACTGTTTTTAATAAATTATAGTTTTTTATTTTATGTCATGTTTTTGTTTGTTTACTTTTTCATGGAATATCTCTATACTTCAGCATCTCCTTTAGATAGCAGGGATCTATTATCACCTATAAAGTCAGTGTGATATAGCCTAAGGGCATAGGCTTTGTAATCAGACCTGGGTTCTAATTCAACCCCAGCAATAAGAAGTTGGGGCTATATCACTAACCTTACATAACTATAGTCAGTCTATAAATTTATAGAATGGTGTATAATATTTGGTCTTTATTAGTCAAGTACTTGATTTAATTCATACATGCACTGTGAATTTCAAGTACATTTGAAACATATATGTACTGTGTAGTGCAAGTATATTTAAAGTGCAAGTACATTTAAATTTGAAAGGTGACTAACTTAAAGCTCAGAAGTTTCTTGCCCAAGGTTTCATAAATAAATGTATAGGTCTTCTTAATCCCAGTCTAATGCCTTACTGTTGTATTTGATATCTTTCCAAACTATTTTATAAGATATTAAAATTCTCTGTTGCTGAATTATTTTAATCAGTTAATGTTGAATAACATGAAACCTGGGCTCTGAAATTGTGGTAATTAACCAGAGTTGTCCCCTAAGAAAGTGTTATCAGTATTAACTTTATAAAGTACTATTTTAGAAAATGCAAGTAAATATTTTCCATTTTTTGAAGGGCAAATATTTGGAGAAAATATTTATCTTGAATTGAGATTGTGGTTGGTTACAGTTAAATCATATGACTATGGCATTATTGATTTTTTAAATACTATATAGTAAAGCTCAAATGCAGCTTTCTTCCTGTTAGGCCTCAAATACTAAGGGTGGTTTGGGTTACTTCAATACCTGTTTCCATAACTTTTTTTAAAACAACAGCCATCATTTATTTAGTCACAGATTTGCAATGTGTACAGGCTGTGATAAGAAAGACCCATTTCTTTTTCTTAATTAATTACTTTTATTGGGGTATAATTGACAATATATGAATTTTCGGTGTACAACATAATAAAGATTTGATTATTTGTATATATTGCAAAATGATAACTATAGTAAGTCTAGTTAACAACTAACTCCATATGTATGGAGTTTTTTTTAATAAGAAATTTTAATATCTTAGCAACTTTCAAATATTCAATATGTTGTTATTATTGTTATGTTGTTATGTTGTCACCTGAGGATACTTTTTCCATTGATTTCTAGAGAGTAGAAAGGAAGGAGGAGGCTGGGAGAGAAACATGGATGTGAGAGAGACACATCAATTGGTTGCCTCCAGGAGGTGCCCCAACCAGGGCCAGGGAACAAACCTGCAACTGAGGAAGGTCCCCTCGAGCATCAGTCAAACCGAGACCCTTTGGTGAGCAGGCAGACGCTCTACCACTGAGCCACAATGGCCAGGGCTATTTTTAACTGTGGTTACAATGCTGTAAATTACATTGCTATGACTTATTTTATGGGTGGAATTTTTTACCTTTGATTCCCTTCACCCATTTGTTTTCATAATTTCTTAACAAACCAATGTCAATAGAAAAGTTGGTAGCAAAACAAAATTTTAAAAATGTAGTTATTCCTCAATTTATTAGCATAAAACAACCTTTTATGTTTTTACTTTAAAATAATGTTTATTTGGGGGAGGAAAGTTTAGAAAGAGACATGTATTTTGAATATTTTCCTCCTCAGATAGTATAGAGTATATCAAATCAGAACCAAATGGTGAATACAGACACATATTCCTCTTTTCTCACTGAACATTCTACTTTGAATATTCTTTGGATTCTTCTAAAAAATATGATCTTAGTGGTTGTATGAAAGTTTGTTCTTTAATTTTTTTAAGCCATTCTGCCATTGTTGGACATATAGATTGCCATTGCCTTTATTTGCAAAAATTAAAAAGTAATAACATTTACTATTTATTTGCATTTAAATATTTTTGCTATTAAAATGTTATCATTTTTAATTTTTAAACGTTAAATTGATTTCAAATGAATATTGGGCTTATAGGGAAAATAATACAAAGTTTCATTAAAAAAAAAAAAAAAAGAATTTCATATACCCCTAACCCAGTTTACCCTAACGTTAACATATCTCTTATCGTAATCAGGTAGTCAACATTAACTAACTGCAGACCTTATTTGAATTTACCAGTTTTTCTGTTAATGTCATTTTTCATTCCCAAGATCCTAGTCAGGATCATAGGTAGTTATAGCAGTTAGTTATTTCTTCTTAGTCTCCTCATCGTTTTCTGCAGTTACTGACTCTTTGTCTTTCATGACCTTGATACTTTATGTTTTCAATATTATCATCTTTATTTTTTATTTATTTTTACTTTTTGAAATGTATATTAATTAATAATTAATTTTATTATACATATTTTTTATTTTATTGTTTAAGGTATTACAAAGAGTAGTACATATGTCTCCTTTTTTCCCCCCATTGACCTTCCCCCGGCCTCACCTACCCCCTGGCACTTGCCCTCCCCCCCCCCCCCCCCCCCACAGTGTCTTGATGTTATCATCTTTAAAACAATGCCAGTTCAGTACTTAAAAGCTGCCATTGTTGTTATTTGCATTTATTTGACTAGTAAATTTGAAAAAAGTTTTTTGTTATGTATTGGTCATTTGTATTTTGCTTTTTAAAAAAATACATGTTTTTATTGATTTCCAGGGAGAGAAAGGGAGAGGGAGAGAGAGATAGAAACATTAATGACGGGAGAGAATCACTATCAGCTGCCTCCTACATGGCTCACACTGGAGATCGAGCCCGCAAGCCAGGCATGTGCTCTGACCGGCAGTGGAACCATAACCTCCTGGTTCATAGGTTGATGCTCAACCTCTGAGCCACACCGGCCAGGCTGTATTTTGCTTTTGAAGTGTTTCAATTTATGTTCTTTGCCTAGTCTTAAAGTGACTTTTTCCCTTTAGTTTCTTTTTTTTAAAAATTGATTTCAGAAAGGAAGGGAGAGAAATAGAGAGATAGAAACATCAATGAAGAGAGAATCATTGATTGGCTGCCTCCTACATGCCCCCTACTGGGGGAGGTATCTAGCCCACAACCTGGGCATGTGCCCTTGGCCAGAATTGAACCTGGAACCTTCTATCCACTGAGCCAAACTTCTAGGGCCCCTTTAGATTTTTAAGCATTGCTAATCTTAAAGCTTTTGCATGATAAATGTTATGATGTATAGAATGATCCAAAGTCACAGAGTTTATTCTCCTCAATGATGATCTTTTATAAATATCGTTCAAATATATTGTGTGTATCAGTATATTTAATGTATAATAGTATTGAAGTATATATCTCTAAATTATATAGACCACACTTTTCATAATTAGTTATACTAAACATATGTGTGTTAATGTAAATTTATACTGCCTTATACTTTATCACATGATTCATCTCATACTTTTTACTCTTCTTGAGATCATTCTGCTTAGTGGGACCGTCCTCATGGAAAGGCTGGAACTTCCCTTGAGCCGTAAGGTCTCCAGCGGGCCTAGATCATTCTTTTAAACAACTTTCATTGTAAATCCTGTCTGCCAGGTTTTCTTATTTGTTCACTTTGCCGATCAGGCAGCTTTTGTCTTTACCCTGTGAGATGGGAGATTACCTGCCCTAGCATAGGTTTCTGTGGGATGGTGGGAAGAGTGAAGAACCCATTCTTTCTCTTCCTGATCTTTGGCTTATACATTTTTCCAATAAAGATGATTCTAAAATTCATACCATCTATACTAATAAAAGGGTAATATGCTAATTAGACTGGACGTCCTTCTGGATATCCTTCTGAGGGCCGGCAGCCGCGGCAACTGTGAGGGCCAAGGGCCAGTCTGTCGCCGCAGTCCCTTTTGCAGATGCTGCGGGAGAAGGCAGAAGGGAGAAGGCGGTGCTGCGGGAGAAGGCAGAAGGGAGAAGGCTGGCACCGTGGGAGAAGGCAGAAGGGAGAAAGTGGCAGTTAGGCAGTTAGGGTCATCAGGCCAGGAGGGGAGAGCAGTTAGGGGGATCAGGCCAGCATGGGATAGCAGTTAGGCATTCAGGGGATCAGGCCAGCAGGGGAGAGCAGTTAGGGGTGATCAGGCCGGCAGGGGAGCAGTTAGAGGCATCAGGCAGGAGGCAGGCAGGGAGCAGTTAGGAGCCAGTGGTTCCGGATTACAAGAGTAATTGAGTCATCAAAGGTTGGTCTTATAATATTGCAGTTAAATTTACTTTTATAAAAGTATGAAACAGAATAATTATAACTGTTGAATAAATGTAATACTCCTCTGAAATATTTTAACAGGGTTACATAACAAACTCATCACGAGTTGCATCTAGTAATTCTACAGAGTTGCTGTTTGACTTGACCCAGGATACAGGATTATCACATTACCAAGGGGGACCGACACTTTGTATAACAGGTTGGTTTTAGTATTTTTTAAAAATATTATAAGAAGAAACTTGGTGAATATGCATGAATAGATTTTCTGTTTGAAGTCTTTGTCTTCATGTTAAGTTTTTTATATAGTAAAGTAGAATGGTGCTAATCTTGCATGGCTTTCTTGGGTCGTTTTAAATCTTACTTAATGATAGAATATTTTACTTCTTCCTTTTAATGACGTAGGCTAATTGACTTTGAGATTGTTCTCATTTGCACTAAACATACACTGAAAATAATTTCCATAAGTTAGAGAAGTCCTCTGATAACCTGAATACTCTGTTAAAAGAAGTACTAAACCTTCTATGATGACGAGTGTGCAAAGTATATGATTATAGTTAATGTTTTAATTAGCTTAGTGGCTTTCTACTAATTTAATGATTTACATATGATAAGTATGATTATAGAGTACTATTATAAAGTGGTTATAATAAATTTGTATATAATTAGTATTCACTAAATGCCCTTTGAAGGAGTAATGAAATGTCCCTATTGAAGAAGAGTTAAAGTTCTTTGATTGTATACTAATAACAAAGCTCTTCATTAACCTACAATATAAAATAGTTTGCTATGAAAAAATTTTATATAATTGAAAATTACCTGTAATGAAAGCAGTTATGCTTTGTAGATTAGCAATTTTGAAATATTTCAAATATTTGACTAGAGATACACAAGATTTGGGGGACTTTTTAAAAATTATTTTCTAATAAATCAATGTAGAAAATTTACCAAATCTCTCCCAATGTTTTAATAGTAATATTAGTGCCTAAAATGCTTTTCTATTTAGATAACATTTATTTGATATTCACTTCTTTGGGTGTCACTTACTTGTGACACTTGTAGAAATCTAATTTTTAAAATAGGTAGGAACGAGCTTTGGCCGGATACTCAGTTAGTTAGAGCTTTGTCCCAATATGCCAAGATTGCAGATTGGATCCCCTGTTGGGGCACATACAAGAATCAACCAATGTATTCATAAATAAGTGGAACAACAAACCTCTCTTTTTTTCTCTCTCTCCCTCTCTCCTTCTTCCTCTCCCTCTATTCTCCCTCTCTCTCTTCCCCTCCTTCTCCCCCTTTCTCCTCCCCCCTCTGTCTCTTTCTCAAGTCAATCCATAAAAATAAAAAATAGGTAGGAACCAAAAGAAACATGGAGAAAAAAATAGTGGTCTTAAGTCAGGTTTTACAAAACACATGGACTTTATTCATAGGAAAGGTCTGAATTCTTGAAACTTCTTGCAGTAAGGACAGTGGCACTTGCTCTTTAAGTTTCCTACTGCAGAGAGAAAGACTTAAGCCTGAGCAATAAGTAGGATGGTTTAGAGATGTTAGTCTTGAGATTTTTGTAGTCTTTATCAAGTCTTTACACTTTAGTTTTCTCATATTATTAAAATGGAACTTTTATTTTTCTTATTTAGTGCATTCTCTAGATGAGGAATCAGCCATTTGGAGATAAATTTTTAATTCTTGCTCTATTTTAGCCAGAGCTTTTTGAAGTACAAATAAGATAAAATTTGAAAATGCATTATGAACTTTAAAGGACTTGACAACAAATAGTTGCTGTGAATGATATTATCTGCTGTGTGTTCAGTAGCATGATTAACTGACCACTGTCAGGTGATCACACGAATTAGATTTGAAATTGATCTTGAATGAGAATAGGATTTTTACTGACAGAGAAAGGGCTGTTGAGTATAGGAAACAACATAAACCAAAGACAACAGAGATAAATAAGTTAAATGGTCAGAATTTAAAACTCTTAAATGCAGAGGGATTTTATTTCTTATGTTAAAAACGTTTTTGAAGTAAAACAGTTTTATTTCTATTGTTCATCTTGTTATATAATCAGATGCTTAATCCAAAATACCAATACTCATTGGCTTTTCAAGTAACCTGAGCATCTTACGAGAATGCTACTGTGATAACAAAATCTTTCTCAGGTCCCCATAGTATAGCCATTAGTAATTATCTGCTTTGAAGATGGAAAAAAAAATCATTTTTATGTTATCTCAAAGGATGAAACAGAGGAGCCAATTAATATAATGGCTTATTTTTCTGACCTGTTTCCCCTTATTAAAAAGCAGATAGGTGAATCTACTAGAATAATTTCTTCTAAAGATCTGAAATATATTTTTAGTAATGATTATATCTATCATTTATTACTGAATGCTTTCAGCTATTGTGTTGGGTGCTTTAAATGCACTATCTTATTTTATCTTAAAACAGCTTTGTAAAACGAGGTATAATAACAAAAGAGGAAACTGAGTCTCAGAGAAGTTAATTAAATAAGCCAAAAATACATATAGCTAGTCAGTGACAGAGCCTGGAATATTTCTCTTTTTTATTTCCAATTTTAAATCATTATTATTTTTCAACTATAGTTGACATTATATTAGTTTCAGGTGTACACCCCAGTGATTAGACATTACATAACTTACTAGGTGATCATCCCAATAAATCTTGCACCCATCTAACACCATACATAGTTCTTAGAATATTATTGGCTATATTCCCTATGCTGTACTTTATATCCTCATGACTATTCTATAATAACGAATTTGTACTTTTTAACCCCTTCACCTTTTTCACCCTTACACCCAACCCCACGACCCTCTGGTAATCATCAAAATGTTCTCTGTATCTGTTCTGCTTGTTTGTTTATTTTGTTTTTTTAGAGTCAATTATTGATAGATTTGTACTAATTGCCATTTTATTGTTCATATTTTTTATCTTTTTTTCTTCCTAAACAAGACTCAAATATTTCATATAGTACTAGTTTAATGGTGATGAACTCCTTTAGCTTTTTCTTGTCTGGGAAGTTCTTTATCTGTCATTTTATTCTAAAGTAGGGGTCCAGTGCACGAATTTCTGTACCTTGAAAGGAACTGTGGGCCTCGAGGCTACAGTAGACACAGACAGGTCTCAGCCCATCCTCCCCGCCCCCGCCTGGCCCCTCCTACCGCGGTCCCCGGTCTCCTTTCTGCCGGCAGCTCCACTCCCATCGCTGCCGCTCCCACGTGCTGACAGCTCTGGCCCCACTTGCACCCACTGATGGCGTGGAGTGATTGGGGCCAGCGCCAGCAGTGGGTGCAAGTGGGTCCAGCGGCGGCTCTGGCACTGGCAGCGGGTGCAAGAGGCAGCTGCTGGCCCAGATCTCCCCTCAGGAGCAGGGGTAGGTGGAGAAGCCCTGAGGGGCTATTGGGGCTGGCAGCCGCCACTCCAGCTGACGGCACCGAGTGATTGGGGCTGGCACCGGAAGCGGGCATAGCGGCGGCTCCGGCAGTGGGTGCGAGCTGGGCTGCTGCCAGCAGCAGGTGCGAGTGCCAGGTGGAATTTTCAGTAACCACCAGACGCTCGCCCCAATGATAGTGACTGGTGCCCTGCCTTGGCACCTCTGCTCACCTCCTCCACCATCCCGTCGCGGCTGACACCCACCATGTTCTGTATGTGCTGCCTGTTGGTCAGTGCACACCATAGTGACCGGTTGTTAGGATGTTCCACCGTTCAGTCTATTTGCATATTAGCCTTTTATTATATAGGACTAGGGGCCCAGTGCACTGATTCGTGCACTGGTGGGATCCCTATGCCTCTCCTGCGTCCTCATGCAGTCTGGGACCCCTTGGGGGATGTTGGACTGCCAGTTTTAGCCCGATCCCTGCAGTGTAGGCCGAGGGACCCCACTGCTGTAGCAATCCATGCACTGGGCCTCCAGTATGCATATAAGATCTTTGGTTAATCTCTTTCCGCCCTCCCCCTTTCCCTCTGAAATTCATCAGTCCGTTCATGTTTCCATGCCTGTGCATTGAGTATCTGCCCCCTGGTGATCATTGTGCATCATAGCTACCAGTTGAACGGTTGAAAGGTCACTTAGGACAGTGGTTCTCAACCTTCTGGCCCTTTAAATACAGTTCCTCATGTTTGACCCAACAATAAAATTATTTTCGTTGCTACTTCATAACTGTAATGTTGCTACTGTTATGAATCGTAATGTAAATATCTGATATGCAGGATGGTCTTAGCTGACCCCTGTGAAAGGGTCATTTGACCGCCAAAGGGGTCACGACCCACAGGCTGAGAACCACTGACTTAGGCTTTTATATATTTAGACTAGTGGCCCGTTGCACGAAATTCGTGCACATTAAAAGGGAATTAATTAGAGGAATTATTTTAATATTGCTATTTGCCCTTTCTCTAGATGAAAGAAAATTAATAAAATGTATATGAAAATCTCCCTCCTGTCAGAATCTGGGGCATGCCGCGGGACCCAGAGTCAAGTCTCCGCCCACCTGCGTATGCCTCGAAATTGCACAAGGCCCAGACCCGGCCAGCCCCACTCCCCATCAAGCCCCGCTGGGCGGGGGGCTTGGCCTCAGGTTCCCCAGCCCCGGCGCTGGGGCTGAGGGTGCAGCCTCAGATCCCCTGGCCCAGCCTCAGGGCCCCAGCGCCGGGGCGGGGGTGCGGCCTCAGGTCCCCCGGCCCAACTTCAGGTCCCTCTACCCTGGCGCCATGGTGGGCAGCATAGCTTCAGGTCCCTTGGCCTAGCCTCAGCTCCTCCAGCCCCAGTGCTGGGGCGGGGGGCGCAGCCTCAGGTCCCCTGGCCCGGCCTCAGGGCCCCAGTGCCAGGGCGGGGGGCGTGGCCTCAGTTCCCTGGCCCCAGTGCGAGGGCATGATGACCATTTGCATATTAGCTCATTATATAGGATTATAGCTTTACTTTTCCTCACTTTGAATATTTCTTGACAATCCTTTCTGGCCTGCAAAGTTTCTGTTGATAAATTAGCTGACAGTCTTACGGGAGCAAGGCTGGGATATTTCTGATATATTTACCTTATTTATTCTACTTTTAGTGTATAGTTGGGAGCATTAAAATACGATGTGCAGGTTTCAAATTCTTATTACCAAGTACAGTTGTATTTTATTTTCAGAACTTTTACCTGGCCTAAATATCTTCAGTTCTCTTGATAATGCTCTCAATAAGACTAATATCTCTTAGATTTATGGTGATGGTTTTTAAACTAAAAATTCTTTTTAGTAATGAAATCTTTGTACAAACATAATTTTATGCAACAGTCTAATAAAAAATAACAGGACAGTAAGTTCCTAAGAGGAGCCTGTGAAGCTTTGGGAACATAATTTAAAAACTTAACTCCTTTCATTATGAGCCCTTTTGTATGAATGAATGAATGATTATCATTCAAGAGTAGTTGATTTCACTTTGGAATAAATGGATAATATAACTTGAAACCATGAATAGACTACTTCTTTGTTAGGTGGGAAAAGAACTTAACTTTTCATTAAACATTTTAAGTTGTTAAATCAAAAGTTTGTAAAGGGTCTCTAAATGTTTAGAATAAAAGAAAATTTTTTTTAACAAACTTTAATGTCCTTACCCATCTAAAGATAATTCATTTGTAAGAACTTAATTCGGAATATTCTCTCTGCTTTAATTTAATTTAATTTAATTTTTTTGCTTGATATATTTTGGTCTGACTTCTTTCATCGTAGTTGTTTATATGTGTATTTAAAGTCATATTTTCTTGCATAGAAAGATTATTTTATGAATTATTTGAGTATATATAGATGTTTGCATAATTTCCCTGACTTGATCACATCAGTTTCTATGATTTATTGTCATTTTTGACATAATTCAATTATAACGCCTTTACTTTAGCTCCAAAGTATTTTTATTTAATTATAAGCAATATTCTAAAGTGTTTAAAAATATTTTTCCCACTGTTTAAATTATTGTAGGTATGAATGAAAGTTCGTTATTTCCAAAACGTCCGTGTACTTCTGAAGTAATCAGTGTTAATCCAAAAAAGTCTAAGCCCAGTGAAAGTGTTTCTGGAGCAAATTCCTCAGCTGTATTTCCTTCAGCTAAGTCTCTTTCAGTGACATCTCCCCAAGCTGTGTCATCAAAAGGTAAATATGAAATGTGGCATATAAAAAAGAAATATATACATACAATTTAGAAATTGTAGTAAATTTACAAATTGTTAGTGGTTATTCAAGGTTAAAAAGTGATAAATCTTGAACCATATATTTTGACTTTATTTTAGGTACAAATAACTCATCAAATCAATCTAAAAATGGAACACCTTTTCCAAGAGCTTGTCCAAAGTGCAATATTCATTTCAATCTTTTGGATCCTTTGAAAAACCACATGAAGGTAAAACTTTTCAGAGTTTGATTTTGAAAAGGTTTGCAAATCTCTAAAAATGTTGATTTACAGTAATTAATGGTTCAGTTATTTAGATAAGAAATTTCCTATTGATATTTCCATATAAGAGGTAAAAATTTATATGCATAATGATTATTTTCATAGAAGATTTTAAAATTGCTTCTGAATCATTAAATTTAAAAAATTAAGTTCATATACATCATAATGTACTAGAGGCCCGGTGCACAAAAATCTTGCACTCGGGAGGGTCCCTCAGCCCAACCTGTGCTCTCTCGCAGTCTGGGAGCCCATGGGGGATGTCGTCTGTCCAACTGACGGGTAGTGGGCCTAAGCCATCAGTCGGATCCCTAGCATTGCTGCGGAGACGCCAGAGGCTCCCGCCACTATCACTGTGCTCACCAGCTGTGAGCCTGGCTTCTGGCTGAGCGGGCCTCCCCCGTGTGGGAGTGCACTGGCCAACAGGGGGCAGCTCCTGCGTTGAACGACTGCCCCCTGGTGGTCAGTACGCATCACAGTGACTGGTCGTTCTGCCGTTTGGTCGGTTTGCCTGTTAGCCTTTGATTATATAGAATGCTGATTGTATTCTAATTTTAAATGAAAATACATTAATCATATTATTTTATTTACTAGATTATGCCATGCTTCAAACGTTAAAAAACTGCCATTTTATTATGTTAAACATTTTGTATAACTTAACAGTTTCTTTAGTTAATTTTGTGTCCATCCATGCTAATATGTACACGTCACAATGACAATCAGAGTTTTACATTTAATTTTCAACACTCAAACATAAAATCCAAATGGTGGAGCATTTCATATGAAATAAATGTTTTAACTCAATCCAGAATATTGTTTGTGTAATTGTTACAAAGTAATTTGAGCTTATTATTGGTACAGGAAGCTCTTAAAATTAGATTTAAAAATTTTGCAAAGTACAAATGAAATAGAGATTTAGATAACACTTCACCTAAAATATTTTATTAGATGTTAGAGTATTCTGCTCTGTCTGTGTAAAGGTAGCCTGTATTCTTCTTGCATTCCCAGTATAAATGTCAGGAAGGAGTAAAAGGAAAAAAAAAGACAGTGCGGATTATATGAAGAAAAGGAAGGAGAAGGGTGCAGTGGCTAAGAAATAACTAAGAAAAAGTTCTTGTTCACTATTTCAGAGATTTACAAATTTTTATTGAAATTTAACATTTTACAAAAAAAGTAGAAAATAGGTAATATTTTTAGAATAGTAAATACAATATATTCATGTACAAAACTGTATTTTGACTGTCAGTACTTCCAGCTCCTAAATTGTAGTCCCTGATAACTGTACTTTGTGCTTTGTTCTTATATGAGAACTAGAGGCCCGGTGCATGAAAGTCATGCACTTGTGGGGAGGGGATTCCCCAGCCTGGCCTGTGCCCTCTCACAATGTGGGACCACTGCAATCGATCTCCCCAAAGAGGTAGGCGCCACCCACCCATCCAGGGCTCCTTGATGGATTTCCCTAAGAGGTAGGATGGAGCCAGGTGTCCCGCCACCGGAGTCGTTGCGCGGAGCCGCCGGGACCTGCCTCCGGCATCACCATGCGGAGCCTCGGGAGCCTTGGGACCCCTGGCGTTGTCTCCCTGCCACGTACACAGCGTTAAGTCCCCACCCACCCACGTGCGCCCTCTGCTCACACAGCCTCCTGGTGATGGATTGTTAAGGCGTGAGGGCATGACGACCACATAAGCTTTTATTAGTATAGATTAACCTATACAAGTGCTTTCAATTTTCCTATCTATGTAATGTTTTGATGAGTTACCTAATTTTTTAATGTTTTATGTTTTGTATGTAAATAAAAAAGAAAGGGTTAAATTCTTTATTTATATTTATTTAATTACTAGAGGCCTAGTGCACAAAAATTTGTGCACTCAGGGGGGACCCCTCAGTCCGGCCTGTGCCCTATCTTAGTCTGGGACCCCTTAGGGGATGACCACCTGCTGGCTTAGGCCTGCTCCCGGGGGGGGATCGGGCCTAAGCTGGCAGTCAGACATCCCTCTGGCAGCCCGGGAGCCCTCGGGGGATGTCCACTTGCCAAAGGGGAGTAGGCCTAGCTGCAGTTGGACATCCTTAGCGCTGCTGAGGAGGCAGGAGAGGCTCCCACCACCACCGCTGTACTGGCAGCCTGCAGCCTGGCTTGTGGCTGAGCAGAGCTCCCCCTGTGGGAGCACACTGACCACCAAGGGGCAGATCCTGCATTGAGTGTCTGCCCCTTGGTGGTCAGTGTGTGTTATAGTGACCATAATTCCCTGTCGTTCTGCTGTTAGGGTCAATTTGCATATTACCCTTTTTTTTATATAGGAGTGCCTGGCCAGCCTGGGTGAGGGGCTGATGGCTGTTTGCAGGCTGGCCACAGCCCCTTCAGGGTGGGGGTTCCCCCTGGGGTGCCTGGCCATCCTGGGTGAGGGGCTGAGAGCTGTTTGCAGGCTGGCCACAGCCACTTCAGGGCGGGGTTCCTGCTGGAGTGCCTGGCCAGTCTGGGTGAGGGGCTGATGGTCATTTTCAGGCTGGCCACACCCCCTTCAGGGGGGGGGTCCTGCTGGGGTGCCTGGCCATTCTGGGTTAGTGGCTGATGGCAGTTTGCAGGCTGGTCAAGCCCCCCAGCAGGGACCCTCACCCCATGTGGGTGAGGCCAGCCTGGGTGAGTGGCTAATGGCTGTTTGCAGGCTGGCCACAGCCCCTTCAGGGTGGGGATCCCCAATGGGGTGCCTGGCCAGCCTGGGTGAGGGGCTGAAGGCTGTTTGCAGGCTGGCCACAGCCCCTTCAGGGTAGGGGTCCCTCCTGGGGTGCCTGGCCATCCTGGGTGAGGGGCTGAGGGCCGTTTGCAGGCTGGCCACAGCCCCTTTGGGGTAGGGGTTCCTGCTTAGGTGCCTGGCCAGTCTGGGTGAGGGGCTAAGGGCCATTTTCAGGCTGGCTAAGCCCCCCAGCAGGGACCCTCACCCCATGAGAGTGTGGCCAGCCTGGGTGTGGGGCTGATGGCTGTTTGCAGACTGGCCAAGACTCCCAGCGGGGACCCTCACCCTATGAGAGTGTGGCCATCCTGGGCGAGGGGCTGATGGCTGTTTGCAGGCTGGTCACGGCCCCCAGCTACCCAAGCTCCCAGTGGAGGCTGGCTGAAAGCAGGTATCTGGGATTTATTTGTCTTCTATTGAAAATTTGTTGCCATGAGCTGAGGCTGCAGCCGGCTCAGGGCAGGCAGGAAGGTTGGCTTCCTCCATCACCCAGGCAACCAAGCCTCCTGCTTGCTCTAGCTCCGTGGCTGCCGGCTGCCATCTTGGTTGGGTTAATTTGCATATACTCACTCTGATTGGCTGGTGGGCGTATCTTGGAGCGTAGCAAAGGTATGGTCAATTAGCATCTTTGTCCTTTATTGGTGTATATAGTTATCCTAGGACAGGGAAGTTTAAAAGTATGTAGAGTTTTTACCTTCTGGCTTATACATTTTATATATCAGTTAAAGTTTTAGTATTATAATAATTTCCATTTTGAATGGTCCTGGCCCCGTAGCTCGGTTGGTTAGAGCATCGTCCCCATACTCCAAAGTTGTGGATTCGATTCTTGGTCAGAGCACATACAAGAATCAACCAATGAATGTGTAAATAAATGGAACAAATTGATATCTCTCTCCCTTCCTCCCACCTCCCTCCCTCTTCCTCTGTCTTTCCCTTCCTCCCTCCCTCCCTCCCTTCCTTTCTCCCACCTTCCCTCTATTCCTCTCTCTCTCTTAAACAAAGAAATAAATGAGTAAATCTTTAAAATAATTTCCATTTTAAAAAAGTGATTTTTAGATTATTTGTAAATGGTTTTTCTATACCAATAAAGTAATGTTTTTTTAATAAAAAATATATAAAATACAAGTTAAATATTCTGCAGTAATATGAATAACTTACTTATCTGAGATCATGTGCTGGACTAAGCTTTTTTTTTTAAGTTTTTAATTTTTAAAAATATTTTAATATATTTTTTATTGATAGTATTATAGATATCTCCCATTCTTATGTTCTTTTAAAACATAAACCAACTGACTTAAACTCTTCCTAAATGTGTTATTTAGTAAATTAGTAGCAACATCAGAAAGTGTGAAAATCTAAAAGCAACTCTATTCCATTTCTAAGATAACAATATCCACTTCCTCTCCTGTCACAGTGAAATGTTAGATCATCAGTGAAACTTTCTGTGTCTCATGAGAAGCTGGGCCTTTGATCCAAAGCAACTTCTTTATTGGTGTCTTCCTTTATTTTAATGCAATTTTCTTGATTTACATTTTTAAATATTTATTCCATAAAGTTGTTTTGCTCTTTTGTGGAGGGAGTATTGTCCAGTATATTTGTTCAGTGTTTTTGGTCTGGCATAGCTGTCATTTTCTTTCTAGTAGTTTTAACTCTTTCTTTAAAAAGCAATTACATGTTTTTCTCATTACTCACCCCTTTCCCCCTCTTCTCCTAACCCTTATCCTCCACCCTTCCCCCTCACCCCCCCACATTGCCCTTCTCCATGGGCTATGCAAATAAGCATATAAGTTCTTTGGTTTATTCTTCTTGTTCCCCCAACCCCACATCAAGGTATGTCAGTCTGTTCCATGCCTCCCTGTTTCGGGTCTTACTTGTTGGTCAATACATTTTGTTCATTAGATTCCACAAATAAGTGAGATCATGTGATATTTGTCTTTCTCAGTTTGGCTTATTTCACTTAGCATAATATTTTCCAGGTCCATCCATGCTGTCCCAAAGAGTAAGAGATCCCTGTTTTTTTACAGCTGCATAGTATTCCATAGTATAAATGCCCACAGTTGTTTTTATCTATTCATCTACTGATGGGCAACGTGGGCTGTTTCCAAATCTTAGCTATTATAAATAACGCTGCTATGAACATAAGGGTGCATATATTCTTTCTGATTGGTGTTTTGGGGTTTTTAGGATATACTCACAGAAATGGGATTGCTGGGTCAGATGGAA